TTTTCCGGTTTACGTGACGTAAACCGGAAAATTTCCGGTTTCCATTTATACCGGAATTATCCCGGAATTCCGGTTTACGCAACAAATTTCCGGATCATTCCATTTCCAAAATGGAAATTTTTTTCCGGAAAAATGGAAACCCTAATAATAACAAAGGGGGTTAGTCAAATCAAGGGGATTGGATATGATCTTGGGGATTTGATTATAAAAACGTTTACCTGTGTTTCTAATGGTAGAATAGCTTCAGCTATACCATTACTAGACACAGGACTAAACGGTTCATCTTCAAAATATTGTCTGTACCGAGCCTGGAATATTAAAGGTTTGTTTGTACCGAGTCTAGAATATTAAAGGAATGTCTGTGCTGAGCCTAGAATATAAAAAGATCGTCTGTACTAAGTCTGGCGTATTAAAGGATTGTCTGTACCGAGCCTAGAATATTAAAGGATTGTCTGCACTGAACCTAGAATATTCAAGGATCGTCTGTACTAAGCCTGGAATATTAAAGGATTGTCTGTACTAAGCCTGGAATATTAAAGGATTATCTGTGCTAAGCATGGAATATTAAAGAATTGTCTGTACTGAGCCTAGAATATTAAAGAATTGTCTGTACTGAGCCTAGAATATTAAAGAATTGTCTGTACTGAGCCTAGAATATTAAAGGATTGTCTGTACTAAGCCTGGAATATTAAAGAATTGTCTGTACTGAGCCTAGAATATTGAAGAATTGTCTGTACTAAGCCTGGAATATTAAAGAATTGTCTGTTCTGAGCCTAGAATATTAAAGAATTGTCTGTACTAAGCCTAGAATATTAAAGGATTGTCTGTACTAAGCCTGGAATATTAAAGGATTGTCTGTACTAAGCCTAGAATATTAAAGCATTGTCTGTACTAAGCCTGGAATATTAAAGAATTGTCTGTACTGAGTCTAGAATATTAAAGAATTGTCTGTACTGAGCCTAGAATATTAAAGAATTGTCTGTACTAAGCCTGGAATATTATAGGGATATATCAGCATCAGAGTAAGATCCTTTAACACTGTAAAAGAACACTTTAATAAAGGTTTTTGTCATTAAAAATATTACTGTAAACTTTTTCAGGAATTCTTAAAAGTATACTTCTCCTAGTATACAATTTATGATAAATCTGGGAGATTTAAAGAATTGCCAGAAATGCCATTTCCTTTCAATTTCCCTTAAACACAATAGAATTATTCTTAAAGGTTCTTTTCTTATAGATTATAAATTTGTATCTTACTATATTTAAACTTAGTATACTTCATTCGTTGAATATTTATAAGTATATGTTATGCTCATTACAGTTGTTGCATGTACACAAGTTTTTTTTAGCGTTTCCAATACCGTTCTAGTGTAACTGTACTGTACTGTGTATACACAGTTAATATTTTCAACAAGTGCATTTGTACGTGCACAGCGTATAGTGCATTCTTGGTTTTCTGGATGTATATGTATATGTATATTTATATGTATATATAAATCTGTATACACTGTACAGTGTACCGTGTATACATGATATCACATACCTCAACCTGACATGTCCTTCATGTACAGAAGCCTAGTTCACTATATTTAATTAACACTGTAAAGCGTACATACATGGCATTTCCTACAATGTACAGAAGACTAGTTCCCTAGGTATCTAGTGTACAGTCAGACATTTCCTACATGTACAGAAGTCTATTTCCTTAGATATCTAGTGTACAGTGTACATACCTGATATTTTCTACATGTACAGAAGTCTAGTTCCTTAGGTATCTAGTGTACAGTGTACATACCTGACATTTTCTACATGTACAGAAGTCTAGTTCTCTGGCTGCTTGTTGCCAGTATATATCAGGAATATCCTCGGCATTTTCTCGACTAAAAATTTTACAATTAAGCTAATAATGAGAAGAAAAATTCAAAATCCAGGTTTCATTTCAGTAATAAACCCTTATATCCTAGTAAAATAAGGACTGATAAATTAAAGAGTGTATAACTCATTCTTTAAATAGTTATATAATAGCAGATGCACATGTTTTGACATTTCTATATTTCTTGTTCTTTATTATATTCTTGTTTGTACATCTTTCAATCATATTTCGGCTAATTTTGAAAAAAAAAATTGGAACATCTTAGCAGTTTGTCAAGCTGGCAACTTTAGAACTCGGTTTAGGTGCCTGCTTTCCTATTTTTCTTCACTACACATGTTATATGAGTTAGAAACTAAATTCAAACTGATTCAGCTACAAACACATATTCCTAGTGTATATTCTATTGAGGCGGACGTCTCCCAACCCAACTCCAATGGTGTCTTCATTCGCTATTGGGATATATTTATAGTATAAAGCTTATCATTGGAGAGTTCCCTTCCATTTTTCCTGTTCAATTTTCTTTTTTCTTCTTGCTTCTTGTTGCTATGTTTTGAGGCCTCTTCAAATAGTTCTTGTGACATCAAGTTGTGGAGCAGGTAGGAAAGAGAAAATGAAGTTTGGAGGAGGAAGGTTATTAGGGATTTCAGTAGAAGATCCCTGCTTTCCTTCGTGTTAAAGTCTTTCTGACTTAAGCAGAATTAAGGAAACCCATAACTGAACTGTTATACAAAATGGGGAGTTAAAAACTTTAAAGCTCCATCAAGTGGATTCTTTCCTCAGCAGTACAGTCCTCACAGCCAGCCAAGTAAAACATGGGTATCATTGTGCATTGTTTGTATACCTATCAGGGGGTATACTTTTGTGTTCCTTCTTTCAGATGAGAGTTTTTTTAAGAGAGGTGTTTTTGTCCCCAGGACATGATCGGGTTGTTACAATAAGTACTGATAAAATAAGGACTTATAGCATAAAGACGGATAAAATAAGGACAGATAAATAAGGACTAATAGAATAAGGAATGTTAAAAGAAGGAAATATGAAATAAGGACTGATAAAATAAGGACTGATAAAATATGGACTGATAACATAAAGACGGATAAAAAGGACTAATAGAATAAGGACTGATAAAATAAGAACTGATAAAGTAAGGACTGATGAAATAAGGACTGATAAAATAAGAACTGATAAAATATGGACTGATAAAATAAGGACTGTTAAATATGGACCATATCCGCCATCNAGTCCTTTGGACACCCTGCATGTGCATCTACGTAGTCCTTTGTACACCCCTCACCAACCCTAGTCCTTTGGACACCCTGGACCTATTCTAGTCCTTTTGGCACTCTGCGGCTATCCTTGTCCTTTGGACTCCCTGCACCTACCCTTGTCGTCTTCGTTGAGCTGAGTTGATAGTAGCCTCATCATATGTTGGAGGAGGTTGGGGAAACTTCACAATTTCTTCATAAGGAGGTGGCGGGGAGGCAGGGTACCCCTCCTCTCCTCTATCAGGGGCAGGAGGGGCGGTGTGAGCCCTGTCTAGATGCCCCCTCCTGGGACAGGGGTTTAGATAGGAGTAGGGGATAGATTGTTGCCTGGGTAAGGGAACACATAAACCATGAGGGAATTTTGGTATATCTGGGGCAGGACCAGGGATATGGTAATATTCACGGATATCAACCTAAACAAGGAAACATTTAATAATTGAGAGGATTGTAAATGTCGTCGTTGCGAAGAGGATGAGAATCATTTAGTGTTACATACAGGGCTGCCTTAAAAAGATGAGCTGTATAACATTAATAGATTAAAGTACTGGCAGAAATCCTTTTTCAACATTTAGATCATTAAAGTCTAATTCTTTCTGGGCAACCCTGTACCACTTTCAGGACGACCAACATTTTATCAAAGTGAATAGATAAATATTTAATCACTTTGCATTTTATTAATTCTTGGCATGATCTAATTCAGAAGACGAACCTTCGGACAAAGATTTTTTTCAGTTCCTGTTTGTTCAAATTAAGGTTACGGACCATCCTGGGGACCCATGTTAAAACATTTAAATGATTTTATGTTTAGGGTCTGTGAAAACTGCACATTTGCTGTGTGTATTTCCTGTTTATTTTAAAACCAGCTGAGTCGTAAGTCAATACTTCGATATTCGTCTTTTTATTTCACAATTCAATTGGTCTTATTGGATGATTTTTGATTTTGGGTTTTAATGGAGTTATATAAAAAGACAAGACTTACGGGCAAAGAGAATAGAATATATATTAGAGGGGAATTTACTAGAAAAAAACGGCCATTTTGTTGTACTGTTTCCATACTGCAGGTGTACTTTTCATATTTATGCTATATAACCTTTTGGGCCCTGGAATATCATTTTTTAGAAAATCTAAAATTAATGTTAAAAAAACCAAATTGTGAAATAGGCTGGTTTCATAATTGACCAATGATCATTTCACTTTGCAAACGATGATTTTCCGTTATAATTATAAATCATTAATGATGTTTTTTTATTCACTTAATTCATTGTAAAGTTTATTTAACAGCTTTAAAAATTCAAAATTGAAATGAATAGTCTAGGGAACATACTGTATAGTGTATATACTGTACTCTACTGCATATAATTTGTGAACATTTACATGATTTGTACACTTTGAACTCCCTTTCAGGCTGAAAGGGACTGAAAAAATTCATACCGAGAGATTCTTTTAATTCCTCTCTA